CCACGTGAATAAGTTGAAGTTACATCCTTCTAACAGGAAAAGTAACTTTCGTTATCATGGAATTATAACAAAACCTGCCAATTCAATATAAATGGAAAAAAAATATTATATGGAATTCAACGAAAATGAAAATTTGCTTGATAATTCAACTACGCTTGTTGGAGAACAATAAAAACACTACTCTCAACAAGCCACCAATGAAACTTAACTGCCTAACCTATAATCAAAGTTTTTTTTAATTTGTTTTTTAAAAAAAGCGCTTGACAAACTTGCCCCGCATGCCGAAGTTGCCCCGATCTCCCCTATCTTAATCTTCACTATCGTTACTTTTTAAAAACCCAGCGAAGCGGGTCCTTGCAGCTAGTTCAGAATAAATTCTGGAATTTTCGAAAATGGTAGAAGAATTAATAACATTTAGTTAATAATTACGTTAAAAGTATACAATCTCTACATTAAATTTGCAGTATTTACTAAATGTATTAATCAGGATTAATAGCTACCAAATGTACTATTTTATAGTAATTTAAAACAAATATGCAAATTTTTAGTAGTGAAAGGGTCGCGATACAGTAATACCTCGATTTTCGTTGACTTTGGTTTTCGTCGATTTTTTTTGCAAAAAATTTGCCTCGGATTTCGTCGGCTTGACACATGATCTCGTTGATAATTTTGCGAAAACAAAGAGCGACCCACGCGTTTTTCTGATCACAGGTCATAGTGGCGTTGTTTCTTACTGTATGGGCATTACTCCGCGCGTCTAGCAAAACAATTCCATTGCTTCCCTTCCTTTTAGTTCCATCAATTTAGATAATTGATGATGAATAATCGAATGTAATTTTATAATCCCGTTTCTAGTTGTCCAAAACGATTTCATTGAAGAATCATTACAGAATAATTGTATAGTATTTAAAATTTCTTTAGCTAAAAATTTTAATTGTCTATGAAATCCAACATCTAAAGGTTGGCATATAGATGTACACTTTGGTGGAATAATTAATATTTCGCATGAATTTTGATTTGTAGATGTTTGAAATACTGTATTATAAATATTAATATTTGTTTGTCCACTCCACGAGTCAATTATTAATAAAGAGTTTTCTGTTATATTTGGAGATAATACATCTTTTACATAATTTGTAATAATTGCTGTAGATAATTTGCCAGATGAGCTAGCTGTAACAGTTACGTTTGGGGCATTGAACAGCGATGTTTGAACTCTAGGTCCAAAAGTTCCGTGAGCCTCTTGTAAGCAAATAAATACATTATCTACAACTTGTCCGTTAGCATTAATTAAATATTGAACGGTGTAGGAATGCGTAACTTTATTACTTGGAGAATGTGCAAATCCAATAGTATGTTTTTCTCCTTTATATGAAAGTGTCCTCGGTGAAATCATTTCGTACGAAAAACCACAC